CTTGGGAGGGGAGCTGAAAGGGTGGACACTCAGCTTCTAGCCAAGGTGACTCCTTTGTTCTAGTGTTGTCTCCCATTTGCATGAGAATCCCTCCTCCCCACTCCCCTGGTTTCTGGCCTGGGAAGTTTTGTATTCTCTGGTTAGGAAAGAGAGGTATAAACCGTTTACTCTCAAAGTGTCTTTGGTTAGGGGAGATAAGGTCTAGATGGCCATAAACTGCTCCAACTGTTTGGCTCTTATTTTTCCTGTCTCAGTTTCCCCATGCCTCCTGCCCAAGAATTTTCCTAGCTTCTTACTATCCTATCTCAGAAGTAGTGAGCACAAAACAGGCTCTGTAGGTGTTACTGAACACTAAGTGAGGTCCCGCTGCCCCCCTGCCACCCTCGGGGCAAAATTCCAGAGGCAAAGGTTTGGGTGATAAAGGAGAGTCTATTAAAAAACTACACAATTTTGGAGTAACAGTTCCACAAGCATTAGTCACTTAGGCCTATTAACTAAGGCTAAAATCTTCTGAGTTCCAGTTTTAATCACTTAAGCCTATCAATTTAGGCTAAAATCTTTTTTTTTTAATCAGACAATAAGATACGTCTTTATGTTGCTAAATTGCACGGTGCTTTAAACAGAGCCAAAATGAGGACAAAAGATGAAAATGTGGCGCTTGGGGAGGCCGCGCCTGGGTTCCAGTGGGTGCCCAGCTAAGTTTGCACCTGGTCGACTTCCAGTCCTCACACCCTCCCCAACTTGCTTAGATTCATTTTCTCCTCAGAGCCCAAAGATCAGACCTTTGGGGAACACAGGTAGATGGAGCTTGATGTTGTTATAAACAGGATCCCCAGGGGACCCCTCCCCTGGCCTCGAACACCCCATATTCAAAAGAGCCACAACTGCTGCTCACGGAAGCCAGCTGAGGGAGCAGATGCAATGACAAGCCACACATCTAGATTTCTCAGACCAGACGCAGACTGGGGACATGGAAGGGGTATTTCTGGCCAACTAGGCAAAAATCTTTACCTCTTTGAGTTCCCCTATCATTCCCCATTTGTTTTTAATTACCTTATTTCTCTAAGGCTAGTTTACAAACCAGAACATAAGATACAAAAGCTACACAATTTTGGAAGAATGGCAGGCTTCTGCCTCACAGCCCATCCGTTCTAGAACAAAGAATAACCCTGCCACCTTCTTCCTCCCACTTAAAATACCATCCTTTGGGAAATGCAGGCAGCTACAGCACAATCATCCAGGCATCCTTGAGGAAGAGCAAGTCTCTGCCTTCCTTCTGTTTAAATCTCCCAGCTCACAATTCCCTGTGAACTGGGATGTTCAGCTTCTCAGCCAACCCTGTCCCAGGCAGTTTAGCATTGCCTCAGGCAACCACCACCGACAGTCCCTCCCCCCGTAATCTGATCAGATCTCTCTGTATCAGAGGTACTGTGCCCTGTCCCATGGGGTGCTAGCAACAGGAAACTGAGGTTCAGACAGGCTAGTCAGCCAGGACAAGCAGAATTGGGTAACTGAGACAGATAGTTAAACAAGCAGTTTGCAGCTAGCTAGGAAATCCTATCTTCCCTAAACCAAGGTTTACATTTCTCCCCAAGGAGTAGGTAAATAGCTTAAATCACCAGATTTAGGGAGATAGCAGAAATGCAATTAGTGTCATTTGCCAACCACACCCAAGGACAATTGAAGGGAATAAATCTTTCTGGTTTATCAGCATAAAGTGATGAATATTCCATTGAGATTCTCCCCAGGACTCTCAAACCTTAGAAATTCCTCGACACAAAGGTCCCAGACCACGTTCTCCCTCCCAGGAGCAAGTCCACACCTTTCCCTTCTCCCTCTTCTGGTCCTCAGACATGCATCTCCTGAACCCTAATGGTCCCCATGAGACTTGCAACCAGGGAACAATGGGAGCAGTTCATTGCAGGCTAACCTCCTGAACCTGTCTCCAAGGCCCCCTTTTCTCTGACTTCCTAGTGAGCCAATACAGTCCAGCCTAGGCTCATTTCCCTCACCTAGTTCCTCTCCTGTTGCTTCTTCTATTCTAGGCCCTTCCTTGTTTTATTGTCCCCAGCTTTAATAAATGTCCTCTAAAAATCACCTGGGCTTGTGTTGGGAAATCTTCCCTCCATGAAGTTAAGAACCCACACACCACCGGCCCGCCCAAGGCATACCTGCTCAGGGCCAAGTCACCCTTCTGGTAACAAGGCCACTTTATATCCCATATCTGACAGCAGATATGTTAACCTAAAAATAAAAGACCAAAGTGAGACTCAGCAAGCATTTCTTTTGAGATTCAAAAGAATATCTGTCAAGCACGGAGTTGGGCAGAATTGCAACTTGTGTTCCAATTAGGAGACAAAGGCAAGTTTTGTAAATTGGAAAAAGGGAAACAATTATATCAAATACATCATTAACAGACGGCATTTCTGTAAGTGCACATGACCTCAATGGCACTAACTCTAAACATTCATAATTTTCAGTCTCCTAGTCATATCTGCTTTCTTGTTGTCTTTGCAAAGTTCTTTGGGATACAATGTTGTTATAGAACCAGTCTATTTTGCTCTGTAACAGTGGCTACTGTGCCATTTTATTACTTTTTAAATCTGAGCATATATTCATTGATTTTTATGGGGGGGAGGGGAGGAACAATGGTTGCCTCCTGTGCATGCCCTGACCAAGGATCAAACCCACATCCCAGGTATGTGCCCTGACCAGGAACCGAATCCATAACCTTTTGGTGTAGAGGACACTCCAGCTGAGCCACCGTTCCAGGGCTCCCACTTCATTTTAAAGTGGCTCCATGTATATCAATCTTTGAAGTGCCAAGGGATTAAAAAAAAGATGCCCTGGGAGACAGGAGGAGAAAGAGCAAAGGAGATTTGAAATGGTGCAGTTGGTGTTGGGTGTGGTCCTGGAAGTAATGTGTTGGATTAAAGAGAAGGGTGAGCAACTTGTGGAATATTCCTGGAAGTTTAAGGAGGGTGAGGACTGACACTTTCACTGGACTTGGCAACAAAAGTGTTTGGTGACTTTGTCAAAAACTTTTGCTGGCACGATGGAATGAAGTGGGTTCAAGGGACAACGGAGGCACGTAGAGACATTGGGTTTATAGACTCTATGAATGAAATCTGCTGGAATAGCTGAGGGGAGTAGGGCCAAGAAAGGGTTTTTATTATTTACTTGTAGAGAAGGAAATGTTATTCCACCCACTTACATATTCATTGGTTAACTCCTGTATGTGCCCTGACTAGGGATGGAACCGGCAACCCACTGCGACAATGTTGCAACAGAGCTACCCAACTGGGGCAAGAAAGGGTTCTACTATGTCCTATTAGTGCAAGAATCAAACCAGAGCAGATTTCTGGCTTTATATACTACTACTGCCAGGAAATCCCTCTTTATATAGAGAAGCTTACAAAGTTACAAACCAAAAACTCACAACCCTACCCTATCACCAATTTTTGGAATAACCTTGGGTGTTATTTACCTTCATAGTATGTCTTCCTCATCTGTACAATGAACAAAACAATCGATTTTCCACCTCAAAGCTGTATAAATGATTAGGTAATTATCAGTACGTACCACCATTTTTCTTTGTCTCAATGATTTGATCTAAGTGCCTCACAAGTGGAATCATACAGTATTTGCCTTTTTGTGACTAGCCTCTTTCACTTGGTATCCTATGTCTTTAAGGTGCATTCATGTTGTATATACAGTTTCTTTCATTTTTAACACTGAGTAATATTCCATTTCTGTACGTACTACTGTTCATTTATCTGTTGGTAGACACTTGGGTTGATTATACCCTTTGGCTATCATTAATAATGCTGCTATGAACAGTGGTGTACAAGTACCTCAAGACCCGGTTTAAAAGTTTTTGTCTTTAGATTTATTTTTAGAAAGGGGAAGACAGGGAGAAAGAGGGAGAGAAACACAATATGCAAGCGATACATCAACTGGTTGCCTCTTACACAGCCCCAACCGGGGGCCTGGCCCACAACCCTGGCATGTGCCCCAACTAGGAACCAAAGCCTGACCTTTTGGCTAGCAGGCTGGCAACTCAATCCATTGAGCCACACCAGCCTCTGCAAATTCTTTCAAATAAATGCCCAGAAGTAGAATTACCAGGTCATATGGTATTTCTTTAATTTTTTGAAGAGCTGCCATACTGACTTCCACAACAATTGTACCACCTTATATTCCTACCAATAGTGTATAGGCATTTCAGTTTCTCCACATCTGACCAAAATTGCTTTTTTCTTTATAGCAGCCATCTTAACGATTTTGCCAACAGTAAGTGATCAGGATGATCACTGTTATTACCAAATGTGAAGGGATTTCCAGTCTAAAATGGAACCAGAGGATATGGAATGGAGACTTCCACACATGGGCCCTTTGGAAAACGAAACTTAACGACTGAGAAAGTGATTTCCAGTAAGGGTTTGATCTACATGAACCGAAAATTACTTCCTATCAACAAACGTCGTCAAGAATCTCTCCCTGTACACAAGCCAATGAATTTACTGCTTAGCCTACGGCTAGAATTTCCCCTCTTTTCACTCCTTGCTGATAAATACAACTTACCAAACTCTCCACACATCTGCCTGTAGCTTCTTACAATTTGCGTTTCCAGTCCTGCATGCCATAACTTTTTAAAAAAACTAAACATATTAAAGGAATTGCAAATTAGCAGTTTTAAAAATACAGCGATCCCATGTACCCTTTACCCAGTTTTCCCAACTGGAACATCTTGTAGAACTTCATACCGCACACCCAGGATACTGACATCCATAAGATCAATATACAGGCAATACAGGAGTACCTCTATGCCTGCTAGATGACATGCTGCCCATATGACTTAAGACCAATTACGTCTTTAAATTTATATTAAAAAAGTAAGATACCAGTAATTTCATTACAAGTCCCTCACGTACCTTTCTAATAGCCACACCAACCCCCGCCCCCAACTTTTTAATGCTGACATGATTTGCTTAGGCCGCAACAACGCCTCACTCCAGACAAAGAACAAGGTCCCGCGCTGGTAAGGTAAATGCAGATGGGCAGGCCAGGCCTCCTGCCCAGGTTGCGGGAGACAGTAGTGTGTACCAGGCACGCCCCACCCCGTGCGCCACAGCGGAACTGCAGTCCAGGAGAGAGCAGCTTCCGTCAGCAACAGAGAGCCGGAAGTGAGTGGCAGCTCTCGGCCCAAGATGGCGGACGTCCACCGTGAGCTGCAGGAGTACCTGGCGCAGGGGAAAGCGGGCGGACGAGCGGACACAGAGCCGCTGCTCGTCCCGGAAAAGGCGGAGGAAACCGAGGCGGGAGACAGGACAGCGGTGGCGTGGCTGGGCCTGCGCTGGAAGTCGGCGCGAAGCTCCGCGGGGCCGGAGGCGGGCACGGCATGCCTGCCGAATGTGACGCGGACGCAGAGGCTTGCGGCGAGCGGCATATGTCTGCTGCTGGCCACGCTCTGCTTCGGCCTGGCCGCGCTCTACGCGCCCGCGTTGCTGCTGCACGCCCGCAAGTTCGGAATACTCTGGTCCCTGGGCTCCGCTTTAGCGTTGGCTGGAGGAACGATCCTGCGGGGCAACGCAGCGTACACAGGTCTGCTCCGCTGCGAGGAGGCGCCGTCGCGGGCTGCGCTGCTCTACGTGGCTGCGCTGGGCGCTACGCTGTACGCGGCGCTGGCCTTACGCAGTACGTTGCTCACGGCGCTGGGCGCCTGCGCACAGGTGGCCGCACTGTTAGCTGCCTTGATTGAGTTGCTTCCTCGAGGCGCCAGCGCCGCGCTTCGGTTAGTACTGGGACGGACGGGCCTCGGCGCCGGTCTCTCCAAGGTGCTGCCCGTATGAGAACCCTAGGACGGGCAAGGGTGAGAAATCTTGGCGCCAGCGCCCCGAGCCAAGGACAGCAGCTACTGGCTCCCAGAGGGCGCAGGCAAAGACCGCCTTCACCATGCCAGCTAATCTGCAGACTCGGAGCGGCTGCTTATAACAGATACAAGCCGTTTCAGAAGATCCTCAATTTCAACTTATTCTCCTACAGTCGGTAGCTTGTGCTCTGAAAACGAGATTTGGTCGAGTTGGTGATGTGCTGTGAAACATTTACGAAGAATTGCTTTTGCATTAATCATGGTTAATGTAAGACCACAGTAAATGTAAGCTCACAGTACTTTAAAAAAAAAAAAAAAGTCCCCTAATTAGCTGTCCTTGTGACTTTTCTTAGATTTCTCTTTTACCTTATCTTAAAAATCCAGTGGTAGGTTGTAGTTTAGCTAGATAAGCTTGTTTTTTGGCTGTTGAAAATTTTCTCTTCAATGTGAGTGGATCCATAATATTATCGGTTTAAACATGAAATTTAGCCACCTGATTTTTTAGAAGTACTTTGGTTAAGAGGCTTTACCTTTTTTTTCTTTTGACGAAGTTGTAAATATGGTGCCTTATAAAGTTAAGAGGAAAATTGTACTAATAACGAAAAGGATGGACCTAAAAATCTTTATTGACAGTAAAAGCAAGTGATGGGCCTTAAAAGGACATATTCTGCTCCAAGAACCGCGGTACCTCGTAAGGTGCTGAAAGATTCTTGGGCAGAACTGGGGTGAGGGACCCCTGGGAGAAAGAATTCTACATCTAGAGTTCCCATGTTTGGTGGAAATCGTGGTCTAATCAACATTCTGAATTTTACCATCTGCTTTTTAAACTTTTACATCGTAAGCCAATCCTAATACAATGTGAGATGCTTTTCAAATCTAATTGCCAAATTTCCTTCTTTTAGATTCAGCAATTACATGACTATTGCACATCTTAATTTATTTCCAGAAAGTATGGGCTGAATATTCTGATGTGTCCATAAAACTGTGTTGTTGTCACTAATTATATGTAACTAGAATGTAAAATGTGTTTAGAATTTTAAAATTCTATTTCAGTTCTGTTTACATCAAAATTTCTTGCAGAGCCAAACCTCAAATTTGTTCAATCATCCATTTTCAACTAAGCTTAAGAACATCTTTTCTGTAATTGGAGTGCACAATTTGAAAATTGTTTTCTGGGGTTGGATTCCAGTGTTGCCTAAATAGGTACGTCAGGCAGCGGTAGAGCACTGCCTCTTCAACCAACCTCAAAATTTATATTCTTAGGTCCTAATGGGTGTCCCTGCCACAAGAAATGACACTACTACAGTGACCAACATCCACAGGAGGCTTACAGGCTACTTCGTGCACCCACCACCCACAGTGTTAAGAATACTGCCTTCGGTATGTGAGGGAGATCTAGCTGCGGCATCTGTCACTCCATTGATGGCCAGGGTTAATTTGGCTCAATCTGGCTGGCTAGTCGGGCATCCCCATCCTCCCTCATCCATCCATGTGTGACCCTCCCAAAGCTGCACACTCGGTGGAAGAGGACGACCTTCCCAATTAGAGGAGAGGACCGTTTTCGGTCAAGGATGTATGAGTAGCTGCACTCCCCTGCTAGAATCTCCAAACAAGCTTTCAAGGATACTGCCTTCCTGGAGGAGTAAATAGGGTTACTGCCCTCAAAATGAAAAACCAAGAGGGCGTTTGTAGAAGCAAATGCAATTTTCAGGGAGTGACTTATTTAACTCTAATGTCTTATGCAATTGGCTGCCCTTTCTACCCCCTAGTTATATCTCTAAATCTAAATTTCTTTACAGTTTTCACAACTTAAGATTTTACTATGTTTAGCACATTTTTATGTTGATGTTACTTCTAAAAATTGTGTTCCCAACATTTTCTCAGGAATTCAACACTGAAAATCTAGCTTTCATAAAATTCAAAGCACAATATATTTTTACAGTGTTTTAAAATGTGTATTTCCTAAGTATTTCATATAGTGTAGAGATTTCACTTTTTTCTAACGAATTCATACTCAAAATGTGATCTAGTTATCTGCTTACTGAAGTACTGTGTTTTAAAGTTAAACCCTAAAATGTTAAGATGATGAAGTTTCTTACCACATGAATCTCAAAAGGGAGTCTGATTTTGATCAGGGTTTGGTCTCTGAATCCCTTTTCAGCTTCAGAATTAATGACAACTTCTTTTTAAGATATACCAGTGGAGGACTAATAAAGAATATCCACAAACCTAAAGCAATCTTGAACATCCTATTTGTGTTTATAGTGAGGAGCTAGTAAGTTGTTTTTAATTTCCAAGTAAAGTAAAAATTATTCACTTACCGTTTATAGGTTCTAATACCCGAAAAGCATCATGATTGCTTTTCTATCTGCAGAAATAACTTAGCTTTTACCATTTTTACATTAGTAGAGAGCCAGATTTTTACATACTGTCCAACTATCCCTTAGAAAAGGGATTTTCTTAAGCAACTACTGGAACTTGCAGCGCTAAGTGTGCCAAGCAAACTTGTCTCTAATGCCAAACTGAGGCTGGCAGTACTAGGGACACTATGGACTTGCCATTGAATAAAAAAAATCTTTCTTCCTATAAAAACAAAGTAAGGGTCAGTATAGAGAGTATTTCGGAGTTATCTCAAACTGAACTTTTGGCATCCAGTCCAAACTGGGCCAAATGTATTTAAAGTAATTTGTGTAGATAAGAACTTCCTGGCTTACCTAAAGTTAGGACTATCCTCTGCCTTAAAATTAGTATTTTCACAGAGCTATTATCGGAAGAGGAAATTATTGAAGTTTCGCAAAACTGTTTCAGACATTTTGGTCTAGTCTTTTCAATTTAAACAATTTGTGAAATGATTTACCGTAGTCAAAAGGGTACATGTAGTTAATTTCTGGCTTGTATCAAGTTCCTCTAGTCAGAAACAAGGCAATTCAAGTCTAAGGTGACTACTAGGTGTACCTAAGGGAGAGCCCCTACCTGGATAACCAGAATATTTTTTTCTTCTGAGCATAATTTTCCTTCTGCCAAAGCAAAAAGTTTACAGGTGAAATTAATTTAGATGACTGACTTAGGCAGAGGTATCCAACCTGTGGCCCAAGCTGCATGCAACCCAAGCTGGATGTGAATGTGGCCCATCACAAAATCATAAATTTACTTAAAACATTATGAAATTTTTTTGTGATTACATGTTGCAATGTATTTAATGTATGGCCCAAGACAACTTTTCTTCCAGTGCGGCGCAGAGATGCCAGAGTTTGGACACCCTCGACTTAGACGTTTCATCAAGTATGCTCCCAATATAAGCACTAATTGTACACCCCTCAACAGACTGACAATGGAAACTAAGGATTTCCTTAAGGCAAGCACTTCACAACTAGTTGTTTTCTGTTATTTCTTGCATAAATCACATTCTGTATTCATACAAAAACAATGTTTTTTTCTGACAAACTGTACATATAGAAACAAATTTCCAATCGGGCATGAACTTAAATTTGTGGAGGAGGTGCTTCTTGTCTCCTGACACTTAAAAAAAACAAAAAACAATTCCAGCTTCTATCTTCACAAAACAATGTAGGAGCTGGGGCAGTGAGGGTATACAGGACAAAAGGCCAGCTACTCTGGGTGACCAGCAGCAGTCTCTTCATCTTGAAGACCTCATTAGGGGCTCCTGGAATTCAGCTGCCCCAGAACAAGAGTTCAGGGCTACAAGGTGCAGGTTTCCTTTTGTTTCTCTTGGTAAGTCCACAAGAAGTTCTTAAATACTGTCCAGAGATGCTGAGGGGTACTCATGCCCACCTTCTACCGACCCCTTCCACCACCCCTTGAAGCTCCTCGCCTTGGTGGGCCAGAGTTCATGTTACTCCCTCTTCCCCAGTTAGTGCCACTCCGGACCCCTCTGGAAGGTGTACCACTGCCTGGAGGGCCCCCAAAAGGTTCATCTCTGTGGTATCCATCATGGTGATCTCCATCCAAGGAACTGGAACGCCCGGACTTTGGCACTCTTTGGGAAGGTCCTGGGCCCCCTCGGCCTGAAAGGAAACATTGATTTCACATGTGATTTTTTTTTTTTTTTTTTTTTTTTTGGTATCAGAGACTTGATAATTCTTGGTACAAACTTTTATTCTGTTATGGCAGCAGAACACTTCTGGGTCTTTCTTTAATACAAAGTTCTGACATCAGCATTGGAAGCACTAAAACTGCCTCCACTTCTTGACCACTGTCTCATTCTCATCCTGGCATGTATCCATGCTCTTCCACATCAATTAGACACCTGTTCCCAAAGGGTGTGTCACGGAGACAACAGGAAGCCAAGAGATAAAGACAAAGCACCTTCTAAGAGTCATGACACTAGGTCATTTCTCTAGTCCATAGGAGGTGTATCTTCACCTTCCTGTGCTACCAGAGGTATTCTGAAGGAAGTCTGAAAAGCACTAAACTTAAACTTTGGAAGTAACTGTGATGATGGTAATTACAAGTAAGAATAAGTGCTTGCGTGCTTATCCCACAACTGTGGCACTTTTGATTTCCTTTTAAATAGTGAAATAACATTTATCAAAAAACAGAAGCATAGAAAGAAAAACACTAGCTTTTAGAATGATTTCTTCCAGGGATAGTGTTATTTGTTCCAGATTTGGACACAAACTTTACTTATTAAAATTCTCACTTAAAAAGTTTTTGTCTCATGAGATGATAGGATTTGTCTACCTCTCCCATCATGCATTATCAGAAGACTGTTGACAACTTTATTTTGTCTTAAATTTTTGAGTGAAATTGTATCCAGTTAAGATGAAGAGGTTAGGAAAGCTAGCCAAATGAATTTCGGCTTCTTTTCTTACAAAGTGCAGCCTAGACCCACCAGAAGGTGCAAGGGCAAAGAAGTGATCAGCTGGGATGTAATTTCCATACTAGCCATGTGGCTGCACCCAGGACCTACAAAGGTATCTGAAGTGCCCACCATATAGACCAACAACAAAATGTGTGCTTGGATGAGATCTGGTGACATGAGGTAATTTCTGAGGGGTTTGCTCTGAGAAGAACCAAACAACTGCCAAGAACAAAAGCCAGAACTTTCACAGGGACTCAGGTTAACTGAGGAGTGGGCACCAGTTGGGGCCCATGGGCAGTTCCAACAGCTTCCAAACCATAGCACATATGCAACAGCCCAGCTTAACCTGAGGCCAGAGTTGTAGCAAGCTGGCATTTGGTGGCTACAGATCCTGGCTAAAAGTGCTGCATCTAAAATAAAGATCCACAGTTTCAAGATGTAGAAATAATCTATTGCCCACACCTGAAAACAACCCTTTCCAGAAAATGTCCCCCAAAGTGTGTGTGACTGTGGGTACAAAGTGTTCCTTCCAGGCCCATGCTAAAAAAAACCCCGAGAACCTGGAAGAGGGCAATTCCACCTGCCACTGATGAGACCCTCCAGGGCTCAGAGCAGCCATCAGTGGAGCGCACATTTGCCAGGGAGAGCAGGAGTCACAGAAAGTACCATCGGCAGAGACCATACTGGGCATCCTGACAAAGAGCTAAACTTGAACAAGGCAGAGATTCTTGAAAGCAAGTGCAGGACACTGAGCTTTCATGAGGGAGCTCTGACTCGCTGCGGGGTGAGCCCAAGCAAACTGCAATTTGTACCACATTTGGGATTGTTTGCCTTTACACAGCCTAAGCCCTGGAGGGTAGAATGGAGAAAAGACCCTTGACACCCTAGGAGGAGAGAAATGGAACAGGACTTCTCTGGGATGGATCTGGCCTAGAGATGAGGCCTCCAGTGGCCCCTGCAGCCTTCTTGGCAGGCCAGTGGCATCCACAGCTCAGACCTGGAATCTCTGGCCTCTGCTTACCTTTGCCTCCTCGATCCTCAGAAGGACCCCCTGGGGCTTCCATTTCTCTGTGCTCAGAAGTGCCTGGTCCATCATGCCAGGGGCGCTTTCGGGGTGGCAAAGATGCCATGTCCATGCCTTGGAGGGAAGAGGATCGTTCTCTGCCAGCTGGGGAATGACCATCATGAGGAGGATGATCCGGGCGGGGAGCATCACGAAAATGTTCATGACCTGGCCCTGAAATAGAAACAAAGATGGACAAGGCTAAGAATCTGACAGTCTCATTATATTAGAGTGTGACCTACAGCAGACGGAAATTATACTGTTAAGAAGAATTACATAGAAACTTGAGAACTGATAATCATGCTAGAAACACTCACTCGCTGAATACCTGCCAAGTATAAGTCACACCATGAGTATATTAAACAAGTGAAGATTAGAAATTGACATACCACTTAAGAGGCAGGTAAGGTCCAGAAAAGTGGATCTCAAACTTTTTAGTCTCAGGAGGTCTTTACACTGTTAAAAGTTACTGAGCACCCCAAAGGGATTTCACTTATGAGAGTTACATCTACTGATACTTACCACATTAGCAATTAAGACTGAGAAAACTAATTCTCTTACCTATACTTTCCAAAAACAAAACACTTTGGTGAAAAGAATGTTATTGTTTCATATTTAAATAAATCCCGTTATAAATGTCTGGATCATTTATAGAGAAATGAGAAAGCTGGATTCTGTCATCTGTTTCTGCATTCAGTCTCTAATCCCCTGTAACAGAATGCTGTTGGGTGAAGGTTGGGAAATAATCCAGCCTCGTGTGGAGATATGAGTTGGAAAAAAGAGGATCTGGTGGACCTGGAGGAGGGTCTCAGTCCCCCAGGAGTCCTTGAACTACTTTTCTTGAGTTACCATAAGCCATGGGCAGTTCTTCCTTACCTGGCTCTCTGTTTCCATCCCAGGAGTCTGGTTTCCGTCCTCCTTCAAAACGGGGGAACTCATCAGGAGTAGGAAGTAAACCCTTCCTTCCTCCTACATAGTGGAACAAAACAACACACAGACTATTTCAGGTGTGTTCCCAAACATTTACTCCACCCCTGCTCTTCCCAGAGCTAGTGTCCTTAGTGCGTACCTCGTGGGGCACCCCGGCCTCGTCCCCGGAGATCTCTTCCGCGGGCAGCTTCATCAGAAGCATCAAAACTCTCCTCTGGACCAAAGTCTTCAGGACCAGGAAAACCATCCCTGCCCCTTGGGGGAGCCCGGCCTTCATGTCTCTGGGGGGCTCCTCTTCTGAAGCTGTGAGGAAAAAACAGCAGAACGTCCACCCAATGAAACATCTTCCAGTTCTAAGTTCATGTCTCAAAGAAGCATATAAAAAAATATGATAAAACATTAACTGGGAAAAAACAAAGTAAAATTGTGCATTGTATAAAGCACCCATGTTACAATCCCAATATTACAGGCAAAAATAGGCAGGAAATAAACACATCAGAATGTAGGATTATTTTCATTTTCTTTCAGGTTTTTAGCAATAATAGTAGTGAGCATTTTTTAAGTGCTAATATCATGCCAAGTTCCTTACATGTATAATTCATTCCATTTCATCCTCATAACCACCATGATTAACTCTCTTCTACCCATGAGTACACTGAGACAGAGAGGTTAAATCATTTATTTAAGGACATACCTAAGCGTTCACATTTGAACTCAGCCAGTTCTGCCCTTTGGCCCAGGCTTCTTACCACATATTTGCTTCCTAAATATTTTCATTATCATTTAAAATTTTAT